GGCCTCTTACCCTCTATGGATCATGGCCGCGGGGCCAAGTTGGCCTGGCCCCTTGGGGCCTAAGATTATTATTTTTGCAAAAGTAGTTTTGCTTGGGTCGCAGCCGCGGGGCCAAGTTGGCCTGGCCCCTTGGGGCCTCTGGCCCCCTGGGCCTGGGCCCGGTAGGCCCGGTCATTAATCCACCTATGCCCCCCACACACACATCTTCAGCAGCTTGTATATTCCTATAAGAGTGGACTGAATTTCCTCCCTTTTCCATTTTATACATCGGGCATTGGATTACTGGCAAGCCGTACTTGTTGATTGCCTGGAGGTTGTTTCTCCCATTGGGCTAAGATTCCAGGGCTTGCCTTACTATTTGCAGGTATATTGCTGTTTTCCTTGAGGCTCCCGATGATTGCCATTTGCTCCATGTACTTGTAGTACTTGTAGTTCTCCTCTACTAGCTTTCCTGCCTTTTGACAGTGTCACACCCTTTGTATGTATTATCCTTTTGTTGTCCACCTTTTTTTGTTAAGTACATAACTCCACATGTGTTCATGCAGAGTTTTGATGTCTTCAGTAAAAATTTACTATGTAAACAGTGCACGTGAAAATAAAGTATGCATTGTAGGTGTGTAGGTGTGTCCAAACTTTTGGCCTGTACTGTATATATGTTGCACAAGATAACCCATGGAAAGAACTCACAGCTGTCTTTGAAATGTTTGGTCTAACTCAGCATGTGAATGAGCTCACTCACATCAGAGGACATACTCTAGATGTGCTACTTTCAAAGGGTGTTGTTATTTCAAATTGGAGGTTTTTTATGTTGTTTGATCTAATCATTTTTGTGTTTTCTTTTACTTAACTTTTACACCCAAACGAACAGTTGGGTCAACAGTTGCTCTGAAAAGACTAATAGATGAAAACACAGGGACACAGTTTTTGGAAATAATTAGGTCTTGTTGATAATTTGGCTAAGGGCATTCAGACCTAAGCAGAACAGCATTGGGAACAGACTATACCTGCATCTCCTTGGTAAATGCCATACTTTATGGAGACTTTGATGGAAATTGGCCTGAAGGTTTTGGTTTCCACAGCATCATCTTTAAATAATAAATAAATAAATAAATAAATAGATAAACAAGTACATAAATACATAAATAAATAAAAAAACAAAAAAAATAGCTAACTCATTCCAAGTGTAATTAGCGACACGTGAATTAGAGGGACAGTGTATTAATTATAAGGACCTTCCGGCAGACAGCCAATCAGAATAAGATGCTGTGTGAATATTCATGAAGTCTTGCTAATACATAACCTGCCAGAGGGGGCGCTGTGGTGATACACAGATTTTACACAAAATCAGGTTTATATGTATTAACCGGACATCTTGTTGTTTTTTTGCATTTTTAGGGTTAGTGGACCAATAGAAACCATTCTACACTTTCAGAATTTTGTCTGAATTAGAAGGACATCGCTCCTGTCCTGTTAATCCAAAATGTCCTTCCATTGTGGCGTGTATTCTTGCCAATTGTCCTGTACACACAGACACACACACACACACACACACACACACACACTCTTGTAAGAACCACAGACTGAGGACCGAGTAAAACTACTCCCAAACTGAGGACCGGTAGTTCTGAGCTACTTAGAACGATTGAGTTTTGAATTTTCCCCACTAGATGTCACCCACACACGATACACTACTTCAGAATTCGCAGAAGTAGTAAGTTACAAAAAAAGCAAAAAAGGTTTTATACCACCAGAGTGAGAACCAACTTTTTTTTTTTGTTAACACATGTTAAGAGACTGAGAAGCAAATGTACTTAAGATTTGAAAAGAGTTTTTTTTTTAAGTTGTACTGATTAATACATTGAAGAATACACAAATACTGTGCTGCAAAAAATTCTAAAAATGAAAACTTGAGGTTGTGGGTCATTCATTACCCTGATATTTTAATAATTTTAACAAAAGAATCCATATTAACTGGGTTTATCCTGGGTCGACACGGATCTAACAATGTAAGAAGAGCCCTAAATTTACAATCATTGATGACAAAAGATCCCCAACCATCCATGCTTCTTGGCTTGGACGCCGAAAAAGCGTTTGATCGGGTTGATTGGCAATTTCTTAAACATACACTAATTGAGATGGGGTTTGGCGAAACATTCGTTAGTTGGATTACGTTATTTTATAAAAATTCCAAATCAAAGGTTAGAGTTAATGGGTGCTGTTCAGAATTCTTCAATGTGGAGCGAGGGGTGCGTCAGGGTGATTCGTTGTCCCCCATTTTGTTCGCCCTGAGTATTGAACCTCTGGCAGAGGCCATACGTCAGGATGACCACATACAAGGTATCAGGGATGGGGAGGGGGCAACTCATAAAATCGCCCTCTTTGCAGATGATATTTTATTATTTATAAAACACCCTCTTATATCAGTCCCCAGACTTATGCACTGCTTAAAGGAATATGGAGATATATCTGGATACAAAATTAACCAAAGTAAGTCAGAAGCAATAATGACATCTGGACAACGACCAAGCCAACTTAGTGAAACCTTTCATTGGTCAGAAAAAGGATTCAGGTACTTAGGGATAATTCTTACACCCAGACCCTCACAACTGTTTGATGCTAATTATAACAAATTGATAAAGAAAATCAAAATTGACTTGTCCCGATGGGAGATCCTACCTTTATCCCTATACGGCAGAGAGGAAACTGTTAGAATGAACTTGCTTCCTCGCCTTCTGTTTTTGTTTCAATCTCTGCCGGTAAGAGTCCCAGTCTCAACATTTACCATGCTCAGTAAATTAATATCCCAATTTATTTGGCAAAAAAAAAGAGCAAGAATTAAACTTGGAACACTTTATCTTCCCAAAAATAGGGGTGGTTTAGCCTTACCCAATTTAAAATATTATTATTGGGCAGCGCAGTTATCAGCTATTGTGACTTGGATTAGAGGGGACAAGGAGGCTAAATGGCTTCAAATAGAACAGGGTGAAACTAAAGATTTACAACTATCTACTCTTCCCTTCATAGATATCAGAGGTGTTAATAGAATGAAAATTGGAAATGAATGGACCAGATATACTTTAAAAATATGGACAGAAGTTAAAAAGATGCTTAGAGATACAGGGTCAGTCTCCAGAGCTATGCCTATTGTGGGCAATATAGACTTCCCGCCCTCCACACGGGACCAAGGCTTTAAGAGATGGGCAGCTAAAGGTCTTAAAATACTAAACCAATTATTCCATGGGGCTGACTTAAAGTCCTTTGCACAACTTCAGCAACAGTTCGGCCTCCCCGCAAATGATTTATATAGATATCTGCAAATTAGGCATTACATTACTAGTCACATGGAACGTGATAGACTTAATAGAATTCCAAATGATATAGAACAATATTTTATTACCATTGCAGAAAAAAACTTTACAACCCGGAAGCATGTTTCACATTTGTACAAAATTCTCTCATCTAATAATTATCAGAATACCTATAAGGTAAAAGAAGACTGGGAATTAGAATCAAATTCTATAATAGAGGACGAACAGTGGGACAAAGTGTGTGAGGGCAGTCACAGGGGAATTAACAGCCAAATGTGGAAAGAATTCAGTTGGAAAATTGTAATAAGATTTTTTCCCACTCCGTTTGTAATTTCTAGATTTGTCAAAAACCCTTCAGCAGCCCTGTGTTGGAGACAGTGCGGGAAGATTGGTGATCATACGCACATTCTTTGGGACTGTCCTGTTATCAGCGAGTATTGGAAGGGGATTAGGGATGAAATAGAGACAATTATAAAAGAAGAAATACCTTCAAATGCTTTGTTTTATTTACTAAGTATAATACCAGATTATTTTAATGTAGACCAAAAGTATATCTTGCACATTTTACTATTGGTGGCTACAAAAACTATAACGGCTAATTGGAAACAAGTTTTGTCACCATCTATAGCAGAGTGGAAGAATAGGTTAAAACAAGTATACATGATGGAAAAAATGACCGCATGTTTACAACTTAAAGTGGACAAGTTCAATCAAAGATGGCGCTTGGTGAAATTGTATTTGGGTGTATGATTCTGGGCTGTAGTGAACTGTAATCTGCTCTGTCATCTATTCTTTTGGTATGTATTTGTATATGTGTATATACAGGTATGTATACATGTATGTGTGTATATATTATATATATATATTTTGCTGTTGGATTACTTTATGTTGCATTTTTTGGCCTGTGTGTGGGCACCCTGGAGGGGAAGGGGAGGGGTGTGGGTTTGTGTGTATGCATGTATACATATGGTAGTGTGTATGTGCAGTTTTCTCTTTTAGGGCATTCAAAGTTTCAGGGATCTGGTTTATTGCGCTGCATTTAGTTTGAAATATTGTATATGTGGCATCAGTATTTCTGTTATTGATTTTATTGCTCTTGGCTCAGGGAATGTTTGTTTTTTGTGAAAATTCTTGAAAATAAAAAGTTCCAAAAAAAAAAAAAGAAAAAAAAGAATCCATATTGCTGTGAACAATGTTTATTCTAGAAACAAAGAATGTATATAAACATTAGCAGATGCTAGACATTGTAAAACATCTCTATAACATTAAACGTTGTATAAAAGATAAAGCTTTTAAAGCGTTTTCTTTAAAAAAAAAATCTAGTAAAAACTAAAATGTGCCATAAACTAAAATCTTCAAAAGAAAAAGTTATAATGGCCGCTTTATGCAAGTGCTTTTGTCTTTAAACCTGTGAAATACCCGATTCATAGAATATTATAAAATCTGAAGGTTTAGTAAACAGAACTAAAATGTGCCATAAACTAAAATCTTCAAAAAAAAAGTTATAATGGCCTCTTAATGTAACTGCTTTTGTCTTTAAACCTGTGAAATACCTGATTCATATATTCAATTTTATCAAACAGTAACATTGCTTAAGTGACAATGCCTCAATGTTTAAGTGTCTTTTTTATCTTTAAGATCTCATTGTGCACAAAGTATTTCACATCCTTCCATGTCCTCCGTTGAAGAGCAGGAGATGATTTCTCAATGCACATGATGCATTCGTTTTTTCCTGGCACTTTCCGCATCGCCACAAAGCTGGTCATAAATTGCTGAACAGCCATTTTCTCCTGCTGAGTCCATGGGATCTTTCCTTTGGTTTCCACAGGACCTAAAAAAAATAAACAGCTTTAAAACTTTTCAATATGCCAGACTAAATACAATTTCCCAAACAAAAGACATGCACATCTGACAAATTTGCATTTTTTGGACACTATATTTTCTTCATCACTTGTCTTAAACAAAAAAATTAATTTACTACATCCAAAATTATCTTGTCTCTTTTTATTTGGATGATCTTAGCTTAAACGGAGGCATGATGAAGTCTTTCATCAATCTACATTGTTGTGTGTGGCGTCTCATTTTCTTGACAATATTGGGCTTCTGAAAAGGCCAATTTGCTGGACAAACAAGCACAATTTTAAGTAGCTTTTGGTACCTTTTGCAATGTGGGCTGCTACCAAGTGCTGCTGAAAATTTTAATCAGCACCACTGTAAAGGCTGTGAGCAAGAGGAGGCATGATGTTCTCCAACATGTCCTAAAAGATGGCTGCATGTACTTCATAAAACCAAGAGGACCAACACCAGTTAACGACATGGCTCAGCCCAGGCTTTGCGTCATCCTGCCACAGTCATAACTAAATAGAACCTTCACATTAGACTTAAATCACTGGATTCCAATTTTTTGTCTTCCTCCAGACTCTGGGACCTTGATTTTCAAATAAATGGAAAACATTTTACCTGAAATTAGAAAGTTAGATTTTTTGTTTAATTTGACCATTAAATTGTAAAACTCTTTCTGACCAATAGGGGGAGCTAGAGAGTGAGCAGACAGTGAAGCACACTTCCGGAACACCTAGCCTAAAGGGGACTGCAATACTCTGTGTGACCACTAGGAGCGCATGCCTTAAACACTCGCACAAATTTTGTCTTGAAATGAGGTTCATGGGGACTTCCTGGAAAACTTCACGAGGCATGTTTATACACCATTTTATGCTGCAAAATGGGGTTGTGCTGGTGGGGACCTCAAATTTGGTCCCCACGGGTAAATAGGTCCCCACGTGTATGTATAGAGTCAGGCCAAAGTCCCCACGCAGGCGGAAAAACAAGTACACACACACACACACACACACACACACACATACAAGTTTTTGCTACAC